CCATTTGGCCCGGGCCTGTCATTCACGGGCCCAGTTACCAGGCCCAGTTACTGGGACGCACCACCTGTAGTGCACTATGAATTAATATTTTTTTAATATACTGGGAGCCTCAAAAAATGGAAGTGGTCCAGGCCTCTCTTGACCTCTGAGAGGGCCTGCATGAAGCCTTTTTTTTTGGAAATCTGTGCCCTGATTTTCAAATGGGCTGAATACCCACAGGTCCACTTTGCAGCCATTGAGACCTTCAGGTGCTTAGCACCTTTGACTATTGGGCTGCAAGAAATAAAATATTAGAGCAGTGATGAAAAGCAGGTTCACTTTCTGGTTTTTCTGGCAGGCAGCTTGCTCCCTGTGGGTGTGGACCGGGGTGAAGGGGGGCATGTGTGCATGACAATATTTATAACCAGGCTGAAGCAGAACTCCTACTAGATATGTCAAAAATCTGTCAAAGTATGAGCTTTTAAGGTCAGCACATGAATAGCAGCCTGTGTCAAGCTCATATTCAGTGGCTTAAATATTGTTTATTGTTTCGACAGAGCAGGGCAGACTATGAGAGAGATAGTTAGGGCTTTGTGTGTACTCAGGGGTGAGTGGGATGGATAATCTGTGCTCAGAGAAAGATTCTGATCTTCTTTACACCAGTTAAAATCCAGAGCAATATCATGAGAGTCAGAGTTCTTTCTGGATTCTCACACAGTTGAGAGCAGGATTTGGTCCCTAGCAGTCTGGATGAATTAACAGAAATTAATGAGGTCACTGAAGGAAAATAAAGGCAGAACAATAAGCAGATATTTTAACAAGGTCACTTTTGAAGCCACAGCTGCCCTGCTTTGAAGTTACTGTCATGTGAATGAATTAGAGCAGCAGTTCTCCGTGGTGCTAAAACGATGTGTTGGCCCTCTTTCTCATGCAGTCTCTCTCTGTCTGTGTGGGTGTCTTGCTGGATCTTTCATGATGGTTTTTGGTTTGTATGTCATTCTAGCTGCTGAAGTTTGTTCCTGAAAAGAGTGATATTGACCTGCTGGAGGAACATAAACATGAAATTGACCGCATGGCCCGGGCTGATCGTTTCCTTTATGAAATGAGCAGGTCTGTGAGATGCATAATGGCAAAACAGGCCAGGGGCTTCTTGGAAACTATTGTAATTGTTATTGAAAAGGAATAATGTTGCATCAGTGGAACACAATCAAAATACTGTGGGCTAGGTTTTGCACTGAATTATACCCTCGAGTTACCAGAAATCAATAATGTTACTGACATGTTTGTCTGTTACACGAGCTTTGTTGGCTGGTAAGAGCTCTTTCTGAGTGCCATTTAGGGACAGTCTCCTGATTAACTAATACACATCTGTCACATCCCTCTAGCACCATTCATGTAAACAGATGCTTAGCCATGGCTGTCAGCTGCTGCATCTCTGGGTTTACATTTATTATGCATTCCAGTGCCACCTGCCTGTCACTTATCCTTACGGATATTTCCCCTTTTCCACATTCCACCTTTTATGCCCTTTGGTTGGAATCTGTTCCCAGACCAGTTGCATCTTTTCCCACATCTCCTCTGCAGTCTCTTGTGAAAATGTATTTTTGAGGGACTTGAAACCTTATAGCCACTCCTGGGGATGTGTTTGAATTACAAAGCCTGTGTCTTCACATTAACATCCTCAATTTGAGTAACAGCACTTTGGCATTGGCCAAAAGGCATCGGGCGTAATACTGTCTTATACATGGCAGGCTGCTTCATCAGTCTGACCATGTGGTTCCATGGGGCTTGGTTTCCTGTCACTGAATTATGTATGAAACTACATACCTATGTTTGTGAGGTAGCCTGAGCTTCACAATATGTATTCTCCTTCCCCTCATGTAGGATTGATCACTACCAGCAGCGGCTGCAAGCATTATTCTTTAAGAAGAAGTTGCCAGAGAGACTGGCAGAATCCAAGCCAAAAGTGGAAGGTATGGGAGAGGCCTCTTCAGGGACTGGGTGAAAAGCGGAGAATGTCAGAGAGACTCACCCACAAAGGAAGCCACCTGCAACCCACTGTTGTGTGCGCAGTGTTTGTAGACTCAGTTAGAATGAGGGCAAAAGTATCATCTACTAGGCACAGGTGTCTGTCTAACATTGCTATTATATATGTGGGCTTAATAAAGCTGTTGTAAAGGCATTGTGGCTCTTGCCCTGGGAGTCACCGTGCATTTCAGAGCCACCTCAACTCACTGTGACACCTCACTTCCACTCATAGCCCTCACCAGCTGGTGTAAATCCCCACATTTTGGAGCAATAGCTGCAGACATCTTGGTCATAGTGGTCTTCTTTATAGGTATGATTTTTGAGAAGCGGGATATAGGATCCCTATTTGTTAAAAGAGCGAGGTTTGTGAATGAGTTTAAACCTCCCTAGTTCAGACTGTGGTCAGCACCTCACTGGAACTAAGGATTGCTGGGGCTCTGCTTTGGATGCTCAAAAGCTAGGGCCTCCAGAAGGGCTGTTGTGACTTAACCTCAGGTCATGTCTTGCTTTTTTTTCAAGCCATTCTTCTGGCCTCCAAAGAGCTCATCCGCAGCAAGCGTTTGAAGCAACTCCTGGAGGTGGTTCTCGCCTTCGGCAACTATATGAACAAGGGCCAAAGGGGGAGTGCATATGGCTTCAAAGTCTCCAGTCTGAACAAAATTGCAGACACCAAGTCCAGCATAGACAGGTAGGTTTGAAAATCCCAACCAAAGGAAAGCTGCCTCGCCTGTATCTTGCCTTGACTGGTAGTGAGTTTTGTGACTGGTTGTGAGTGTTTGCTTAATTGATGCATTGACATGCTGTAGAGAATTAAAAAAAAAAATGTCTTACCTTACATGTGAATCCTGCCTCTTATGCTGGAGGACCCTTGAATGCTTTATCAACTCTCAACACAGTATGGAAATTCAGCTGGTCTTTTTGTGTAGAGCACGCTAGTGGTTTAACCACCGAACATTAATCTACTAATCACTATCTTAGCAGATTAATATTACAGAGGCTATTTCTTTACAATATGACCTGGACACCAGTGCTTTAAGTCCTTGCTTTTATAAAGAGCCGCTGGGTGTCCTGTAACAGCAATAACCACACAAACCAATAAATATAAGTAAATATAATAAACCAATAAATAAATAAGTAAATACCCTCCCCCCCCCCAAAAAAACCAAAACAAAAACAAACCCCAAACAAACAAAGCCCCAAAATCCAGAGCAACAGCATTACAGTCCATCTGAAAAAGTTCTTCCAAAGTACAGTACAATCCCAGCCAATTCTGCGGCATTAGTTCAGTAGTGACTGGGAAAAGAGTGCCATCTTCTGAATCAATGACACCCTGCAGCATTTCAGTTTTTTGGAGATTTTGGCTGTACCTACATTCAGTTGTGAGGCCCGATGAGACTAGACCTGTAAAGGAATGGCTTCTGGGTATTGAAGGATGAATAACAGCAGCAAGAATCACATTGAATCCATTCCTCCTAAAAGATTTTAAACTAACAGAGCTCTGTTTTAGCGGCTGCTGTGTGCTTCCCATATAAACATTTGGAAATCACCTGCCCCCTATGTAGCAAATACAAGGGGAGCGTCTTGTTTTTACATGGCTTGGACTGAGTTTCTGTATGTGAACTGTCCTCTGCAGATACCATAGTCTCCACAAGATGCAACTCCCCAGACTCTGGCAAGTATCTGAGGCAATGATTGCCAACTGTCTTGTGTTTTGAATAAGTGCACACCTTCAAACAGCTGCTGTGGCTTTCCAGTTACTAAAGGGTTTGGTTCAAAATTGTCCTTCTGTTTTTTTAAACCCTCTATGAACTTTCTCTAATCTCTGCCCTGTGCCTCTCCTCATTCAATTCCCAAGTCTGCTCCTAGTGCTTATGCAGTAGTAAGGTTACCCTCCCCCTAGTCTTCCCTGTTTCCTGATACAATCTCTTCACTCTGGGTGGAGGAGTCATCTCCTCTGTAGTTCTAGGAATTTGAAATGGCCTTCTCTGCTTCATTAACTTTCCATTTCATTTCAGGTCTCAGCTACAAACTACTCTGCTCTCCCTTGTCTTTTAGTATCACTTTGCTAGTATTTATTGTTTAATCTATGAAGCATTTTGAGATGCATTTTGCATGACAGCCACTATACTGTTTTGTGCTGTTGCATTTTCTATTACCTCATATGCCACTGTACAGAGAGAAGCAGGAATCCAGTCTCTTTGAGAATAAAGACAAGGCAGGGTGGGAATGTCCTTTGAGTTCTTGGGGGGAAAATGAGTCTGAGGAGAATAGTTAATTTTAATCTTTGATGCTTTTATTTAATCAACAGAATTGCCAAATCCTTATCTACAGTTCTCTTTGTCTGATGAACCAGATTCCATGACCAAACCTTTTGCAATGCCTGCACCAACTATACTTTCTCCTTTGTGTCCTTTTTTCTAAGGAACATTACACTCTTGCACTACCTAATTATGATTTTCGAGAAAAACTACCCAGACCTCCTTGATATCCAGTCTGAGCTGCATCATCTTCCAGAAGCAGCCAAAGTCAAGTAAGTCCAGTACTATCTGTCAGTCTCAGGGCACCATTCTGTTTTCAGTGAAATCAATGGAAAGACTTCTGTCAACTTCAGTGGGCTTTCACAGTTGTTTTTAAATCTGTTTTATTGTTATATTTCCAAGTAAGGGCTATTGCCTCAGCTGGTATAAGTGTCAGACTTCACTGACACCTGTGGAGCTATTCTGATATCTATCAGTAGAGGATTTGGTCCCGTCATTTGTCTATTTGTACAATTAACAATTTTATGTAGCCCTGTCTTAGCCTGTATGTTACTCCCAAACTGTGCACTGCCATTAGACAAGCTGCTGTTTGTAATTTACCATTCATAGTGTGACTGGTCCCCATGGATCACGTGGTATTTTTTTCTGTTGGATGATTAGATAACTGAAGGTTTATTTTAAACCAAAGAGACTACATCATGAAGGCTGTGTAAGCTGTTTCCCGTGCAGCCCTACAAACCTTTGCACAGATTCATTCTTGCACAGGAGTTAGAGAAACTTGTTTTCTGCATAAAATTCATGTCTGTGGCAAATAATTGAAATGGATTTTGGTGCCTTCAAAACCACTTCAAGTTGTGTTCTTTTTTCTAAAATACTGTTCCACCATATCTTGATGCAGAATTTCCCCAGCTGTTGCTCTTTGTGTAAGGAGCCAAATAAGTCCAGTACTTCTAAGCGAATGAAAAACAAGTGAGAACTGAATGCAGGATATAAAGCCAGAGGTGCTGCTCTCCAAACTCGCACTTAAAAGTCCGAAGAAACACAAGCTCTGGTGTTTCTTTTTCTGATCTGTAGACTTTGTTTAATTCAGGAGTTAAATGAAATATCAACAAACAATTTTTCAGTTGCAAGTAATCATTCTTAGTCACCATCATCAGTCACCATTTTTTAACAAGTGACCTAGAGGTAAAAGGCTTCACTTCTTACTAGTGATGGAAAATCCTCTTATTGTCTTTATGCTAGGGGAAGATACCTAGTACAATATTAGTGTCTAAAAAGAGTTTGTCCCAGTTGTTCTTCTGCTTCTAAACTGGCTAAGTTGCTCTTACCTCGCTTTTAGTTATCTAAGTTACCAAGTGTGATTGTGTTCCACTCCACTCTGTGGTCACAAAACCTCTAAGACACATGAGTTTGTTATTGCACCTCCATTGTGGCCTGAAAAGCTCCCTTGGAAACCAGATTTGGGCTACTCTGCATGGTCTGAAGAAGACCACAGTGAGCACATAAGCCACTTAATCTTACCTCAGCTCTGTTACCATCCTGTTCAGTCTGGGAAACAGATAAACTCCACCTAAATTCCTGATTTCTTAGGTGGAGAAAAATCAGGCCAAGCAACTATTTGAAGCAGAGGGTGTATGTATGGGTGCAATGAAGGAGGAAAAGGACCTATCCCTTAATAATAGCTTGGTGGTTTGAGCATCTGCCTTGGGTTGTGAGAGATTTGTTATAGACCCTCTCCAGCCAGAGTGTGTTTTAACTCACCTCTGCCACTTCCTGGGGTGTGTTCCAGCTGGTAGGCAGGGCTGAGGGTCCTCTCCACTCTTCCCATTGAAGCTGGCCCACCCGGGCAGCCAGAAGTACAAGATTCCTGAGATAGGAAGGCAGCAAGCAAGAGGAAGTGTGACTCTGGCCTAATAAGAGGGTGACTGCTCTGGGAAGGGAGTGAGCTCTGAGTTTTGACCCCTGCTCACAATGCTATTTTTGCTTTTTTTTTTGGTCCAATAATGATTTCATGCAAAGTACATAAACAGCACTGGGATCAGGACCCAGGTCTTCTACTCCTCCCCACAAACCCTGGGGAAAGGGGAGAAAAGCGGAGGAGGGAATGCTTACTTGTTTGGTGTATAGTCAGGTTCGATCTTGCAGGCTATCTGGATCCATGACTCTACATTCCTTTCTACCCAGTGGCCCAACTTCAATGGGAGCTTCAACAGCCCTACCTAGTGGTTATGGCACTTTTCCAAAAAGTGGAGAATTCTGGGTTCAAACTCTCAAGCTGAGAAGGTCCTAGAGCCCAGATCTCCTGTTTCCTGGATAAATATACCTGGGCTCTGCACTATTGATGAAAAAGGTGGATGAGTTGTCCTCTTCTCCCTATCCACTGTACTTTAAACTGAAGTCAGTTGGATGCCTTCAGACATGCTGTGTCTCAGTATGACTGAAGGATCAGATAAGGGTCTCGCATCTTCTGGGTAAACTGTATCCCAATGTGAAGGAAGCACTTTCTCGCAGCCCTGATTCAGCTGTACTTCATATGCACCACTGTGCCTAGCATTTCCTACTGGCTGCCTGCTCTGAGCCTGTATGCTCTGGAGGTGCAGAAAACTGCCTTTTGAGAGAATGGGAGAGCTATATGCTGCCCCAGGTAGAACAGGATTACTCCCCTAAAGCACACATTATGGTGGCAAGTGGCTGCCCATGTAGGGGGAATAAAATCCATTCTTTGTCCATTAAAGTGAGAGGTAAGGTGAGATTGTGCTAAACTAGGAAGTTCACTTGCATGGGCTTCTGTGATGAAAAGACAAAGTCATCAACTGTATTTGGACAGCTCATAAGAAAAAAAATAGATGGTTTATCCCTCGTGGAATGCAGTAATTCACAGGGGGAAGGAATGGCATGCAGAGCTTGTCTGAGACCATTGTGATGTGGGTGCTCAAGTCGAGTTCCTTGCCTGTGAGTCAGGCAATTATTACAAGCTGGACATGTGGCTTGCACTCCTTGCTGGAGAACTGGGCTCAATACACAGGCCCCAGTATCTTGTGTCCTGTGACAGATGTTCTGAGATTACATCCCCCATCCTTTCCAGAAATACCATAGGATCTTTAATGTGACCACGAGCAATTGGGACCTTAGTTTATATGTCATACAAAAGGCAACACAGACCCCTTCCCCCATTTCCAAGCATCTGGCATGGCTAGTGCCAGAGGCAGGATACCAGACTTGATGGACCAGTGGTCTGTTCTGCTACAGTAGTTCCTGTATTCCTATGTAACACTGCCGTTTTTGTTTTAACCACTGCGTCTCTGTGTCTCCCTTGCAGCCTGGTGGAGCTAGAAAAGGAAGTTAACAACATAAAGACCGGATTGAAAGCTGTTGAGGCTGTAAGTATGTCAAGGTTTCCAAATCTCCATACTTAAAACATCCCTGTCAGAATCTGAGGCACTGTATTTTCTGTGAAAGGAGAAGGGGGCTTTTCTTTCCTTGTTAAGCACCATGTATTCACCAAGAAAAATAAATAAAAGCTTTTGATGATGATCCTAGCAGACATTTGCTTTAACAAAAAAGGTTCATTTGATCTTAGGCCAGAGAGGAAAAGGCAGTTTGATAAATAGAAACTACTTAAACAAAAAAAAAAAGTGAAACAAACCTCCCTTTGCTTTTTGCTGAGGAACTTATGTTCACTTAGCAGGTGTCTTGCCTGGCCCTTGTGATAGGAGTAAGCAGATGGGGAATATGCTACATGTTAGGCAATCATAAGTTGCCCCATTTCCCTGTCTGGAGGAAGGAGCAAGGTTTGGACTAGGGCATGAAACAAAAACAAAGCAGCTGGAAATGCAAAGGCATCTTTCCTAATGTTGCTCAAAGTACTCTAACCTGAACTACAACCTGTGTTGCCTCAACCTCTGCTTAATTAATGCAGAACATTCTCTCTCTCTCTCTCAACAAGTTTCAGGAAATGTTGCCTTTGGGTAACTATAACCCAAGGTATTATGTTGTAGGGGTTAAAGATGAAGCACTGGTCTAAATAATCCCTGGGTTAAGCTTTTTATGTCAGCATGTGGTACCTGGAAATCTCCAAAAAAAATAAACATCACCTCCTCAGTATAAAGGCATATGTAGAATGAGAAGATTTCAGTAAATAAATAGGCGAGACACTTATTAATGGAAGAGGTGGGAAAAGTAAAGAACTTGGAATTTAGAGGTTAAATAATGTAAAAAGCAAAGAACAAGTACCATATTTTCATGCATACACCATACCCCCAAATATTATATTCATCTTGTTTTTGAAAGGCATAATGAAGAAAAAGTATGTTTCCAGGGATATGGCTGCATAGTGCAGGGACAAAGATATATCTTAAGCTTGCCTCCCTTTCCTGTGTAGCTTAAGATGAATGCATAGCTGCTACTGAATACTGGTACCCATGGGTGGATCCATACTTTTAAAAAGAGCTGAAGAGTGAGCTAAAAAGGTTGTGAAATAAATCAGGGGCAGCTAGCAAACAATAAAATTGCCCTAAGAAAAGTTAGTTTGAGCAGTAAGATCATAAAAATGGAGAGACCCATAGAGTGAACAACATTAAGTCAATCTGACTCTTTTAGCTACCTGAATGGCAGAATCACAGCTGCTACATTGTAGAGCAGGAATCAAACCCAGGTGCTGTTTTCCCACACAGAAAATCAGGTTCCCTGCTTAACATGTGGACCCCAATTTTCAGGGGGCTGATTTGGGGGTAAAAAGGTATGTGTTGTATAATGGAGGTGCAGACAGTTCTTCTTCCCTAAAGATCACTTGCAAGGAAATCAATGTGATTCAATATGTGCTGCTTCAGATTCTTTATAGAGAAATTGGTTATGGCACTTTTTCATTTAAATTCTATAGGGTTTTTTGAAGCTTACACTATAATTGAGTAGAGGATTATATTCCCCTTGTAAAATTCTATAGAATGTTTCAGAAAACATTTGGGATGGATTTCATTCTCCATACGTCTGTGGATTTTTAGAGTAATTTTGACTCTATATATGTATCATGGTACATTATGATTTTGTGGCATTGAGTTTATGGGGTCAGAAACTTGCATGTTAATTTTGGCTATGCCATTGCATTTCTGTGTGACCTTGGAAAAGTCATTTAACTGTTTGTGAAATGGAGGTTATAATATTGACTTACCACACAGAAGTGTTTTGAAGGTTAACACGTTCATGTTTGCCTAGTGCTTTGAAAATGTAAATTGCTTTGTAAATGCCAAGTGTGATTGTTGTTATACCCCCTCTCGCCAAAGTTCTTCTGTCACCTGCCAGGCTGAATGTTATCTTTTTTTCTGGCTTTGAAATCCATATATCATATGTTCAGGATTGACTGAGGGATGTGGAGGGCAAGAATAGCATTAAACAGAGACAAAAGACAGTGTGGAAGATGTTTTGAACTCAAGGAGATCCTTGCTCCATTTGGCTGTAAGTGTCCTGTTCAGCCATGGCTATCAACATTCAAAAAATTCCACCCTTTGGTGACCTATATTATCATTCATATAGGCCTTTGTTTCGAACTTATATCAGTTTGTACTACTGAAAGTTGCCAGATTAGCTTCCCCAGTGGCTGAAAGGCTCTATTTAGCCACTCAACAGGTGCAACACCAGCAGCAACACCACAAACTGCCACCATGTGACCCTGCCATTGTGCCTTAACCTCCACCAGCAAGGATCCACTCCAGTCATGAGAAAAGTGCTCAGTTTCCATGTCTCTTTCCGGAGAAGGAAGGGCTTTATGATGTACTACTGGTTCCCAGAACCACTCTGGTAACTTCAGAGATTCATCCTCAGTTGCATCATCTTCCTCCCAAACCAAAAAAAAAAAATGCCAGAGTTATTTCAGTGTGCACCATTGAAATGGAAATGGGAGACGCTGATATGAGTAGGTGTTTGAGAGCAAGCAATGCCAATATGGGGCCTGTGCTATGAAGACAGCCCTAGTCATGCCTTCTGCAAATCGTTCCTTCCTTGAAATGCAAGTGCCTGCTGTGTTCTTTATTCTGTATACAGTTGGTTTTCCCTTTTGTCTTTCCAGCCAATTCTCCTCCTCTTTCCTGTACATCCCCTTCCTATTCAGTCACCATCTCCCCTCCTCCCCCCTTCCCCAACTCCCTTCCTTTGCTTGATGTTTTTCAGTCAGGCCTGCCAACAACTCCCAGTCTTGCTCATTCATTTCACATTTTTGGCACATAAAATGCAACACTGTAGCAACAATAGAAGATCATTGTCAGCTGGGGGGAAGGTGCGACTCTTGATCGCCTTCCAGCGCGTTCTCGCCACAATCCTGGCTCCAGTGATTGGGAAGGCCCCAGAAGAGTAGAAACCTAAAAATAGTTTTACAGTCAGCTGTTCTTAAAGATGCTTGTAACCCTTTGCTTCCCAGGGCTTGCACTGAGAATTAAAAATGAGAAAAATCTCTTTACAGCTCAGTCCAGTGCTTGGCCCTCCTCCCAAGTCAAGGCACACCTCCATCCACTTTTTTCTTTTTTTATGTTGGATATGTCAGCAAATATAATTGTAAATTCAGTTAGTATTGCTGAGCTGATGGTGGTCATCTTGTTCAAAGGGTGAGGGCTTTTTCAGGGCAAATGGGGGTAGGCAAGCTCCTGTGTCGGTGACCGTGGATTATTTTCAACTGTAATGCTGCCTCAGTGATTAGAAGAAAAGCTCTGCTGTGAAAGCTAATTTATTTTGCTTGACTATTTAGTGATAAAAGTTTCCTTCCAATTTTGAATCTAGTATCTCAGTGAGGTGGAGAATCCTTCCCTGCCTCAAAAATAGCTGTCTTCCTCTCTTTCCCATAGGCGGCATAAAGTATGTAATCTTTTAACAGAAATCCATGTTGCCTTTTATTTGGAGAGGGAAGCCTAGAAATTAATCTGCCACACCTTAAAAAGAAACATAATGAAAAACCCAAATTATGGCTTCTCAGATTAAGTTTGGAAGGATTCTTTAAAAAAAAAAATTAGATTCATAGATGTTTGGTTCGGAAGGGACCTCAGTAGATCAAGTCCGACCCCCTGCCCTGGGCAGGAAACAGCACTGGGGTTAGATGGCCCCAGCCAGGTGCCTGTCCAGCCTCCTCTTGAAGACCCCCAATGTAGGGGAGAGCACCACCTCCCGTGGAAACCCATTCCAGGTCCTGGCAACCCTTATTGTAAAGAAGTTCTTCTTGATGTCCAGCCTAAGTCTGCTCTCTCTCAGTTTGTGGCTGTTGTTCCTAGTTACACCAAGAGGTGCCTTGGTAAGGACTGAGGGCTCTGTTTATTCTGCCACATGACTACATGGCTGTCTGAATGATAACAAAATTTTGCTCTTCCATGTTTATTTAATCTCAAATCACTTTGAAGACATTTGAGACAAACATTGTTAGGTTTTATGCTTCCCTAGCTTGCTAGGGGCATTGCACTGCAGCTCTTCTGCCTCAATGGTCTTCTGCCTTCTGCAACTCTCTGGAAGATGCTTTCTGCCATCTGCTTGGCACCAGCTTCCTGATCTTTCTCTTGAATCTCCAATGCTATCACACACAATATAGGAAGCCTTGACTTTCAGACTTGCATCTTAGTAGTTCTGTACCTTTTTTCTACCAGGGACCGATCTTCTATTCATCAGGAATTTATTTTAAACTAGCAACATGGGAAGAACAGAGTAGCCATGATCCTTTGGTGTGAACCTCTACAATAGCTTGAAGCCCTGCCAAAGAATGGAATCAGCACAGATCAGGGCAGTGCTAGCTTCTCTCAACATCCTTAATTCATTGCCACGAGAAACCATCTCTAGCTGTTAGAGGAGAGTTTTCCATGGCCTGTTTATGCTTTGTCCTTCCTACTGAACCTTTTAACACAAGTACTGTTTTTTTGGTGAGGGTTTTTTTTTTTTTTTTTTTTTTTTTTTT